ATATGAGTTCGTATGTAATGTATGAATATAATATACAAGTTTCACTTTTTAAATGGAATTACTGAAATAAATCTACTTTTTCATGATATTCTAATTTTATGACCAGCACCTGTAAATGTGGGCAGAGCTYCACCATTCACTGAGTCTAAAAACAGTGGAACAGTTTCATAATAATGCTCCTCAGTGGAAAATTATGAAGACTTTGAATATCCCACCATCTAAAGTTCATAACATCATCAGAGGATTTCAAGAATCCGGAGAAATCTCTGAGCTGAAGAACGAAACTCTGAGGACAAGAATGAAAGTCAACGCTCGTGATTTGCACATTTCAGCTAAGCTTGGAAAATTAAACGTTTACTATTTTTGCTCTCGCCAAGACATTATTAAAATGGTTCGACAACAATTATCCCATTAATTTAAGTATAAAACATCACTTTGCTCACATTTAATAAATACTGTAAAATCACTAATGATGGCTAATGTTTTTTGTTTTCAGCAGGTGTTCTGAAGTTTCCTGAACTCCTGCTTGATGCAGCTGAAGATGGGGTGGTAGAAGCGCCTGTCTGACAGCATGAGGTCGGTGACGATCCCGCTGTGGCTGACTCCAGGAAGCAGGTAGAGCGACACCTTCACGGACAGCGAGGTGAGGAGCTCGGAGAACTTGGTGCTGGATTTCACCGGAACAACGATGTCACTCGTCCCGTGAAGCAAAGCGAACGGAGGAACTCTGGAAACAACAGAAAACAAAAGACGTTTTTRTTGCAGCTGTCACGTGGACGTTTTCGGACCAGCTCCTGTCGCTGCTCCTCACCGACTGAGCTCGTCGGCGCTGAACTCCTTCAGTAAGTGCGTTGGGGAGTAGTAAGGGAAATTTTCCACTCCACGCATGGCTTTGTGCATCGTGGAGACGTATTCCACTCCACGCGTCTGCTCGTGCTCATAATGGTCCAGGATGTTGTAAACACCACTCAGACCTGACCRGGCGACACAAAACGTTACATCTAACTCTCCCAAAACAACTAAAAAAAAAGACAGTTCAATACAAATATGGATCAACATTCACATACCAATAATTCCTCTTATGGATGAAGTCATGTGTTGTTGTGTCTTTGACTCTATGAACAGCTCCTCTGTTTGCTCAATGAGAAAYAACGTGGTCAGCGCACACAGATGTGCACCTGATGAATGACCAATTAAAACTATGTTGTCCTATAAAAATAGAAAGAATACTAGTTAAACTCACTTAGGGCTGCCACAATCGATTATTTTAATAATCGATTAATCACCGATTATTTATTCGATTAGTCGACTAATCGGATCATACGTTAATTGAATA